TAGAGCCAAACTGAAATATAGCACAGGTTTCTAGGTCTGTATTAAGCCCGCCACAGTGGTGTTGCTTCTGTCTGTGAAGCGCTTTTAGGCTGTGGCGCAAGTGGTCCCCTAAGCAGGCCAAGTGTTTTTAGGTCTTCTAACACCACAGTGAATCTGCTTATTAAATTGCAAGTTATGTTCTATTTAAAATCTATGTACAAATATTAACAAATTTTGGTGAAATCCATGTGGTAATCCAACCCTCTTTCTCAGTACATATTTAAAGAGCTAAACCTGACTAATGCTGGATTCTTATATTTAATATGTTAGAAAGCAACTGTATGTATTTTTTAAATGTGCAGTTCCAGCCTGTTTCTACATAGAGCCCTTTTCTTGGACCTTCTAATTTTGCTGTATGTGTGGGATAGTTGTGTGACTCTTTTTAAATAAAGATTGAAAGTGGAAACTGATTTGCCTTGATAATGCCAGGTAACCATTTAGCCTGAGGGATTAGGTATTTTAAAAAAACAAATCAAACAACAACAACGCCCAAAAACCAACCCAAAAAAACACAAACGAAAAATAAAAACATGCCAAGATGGTAACAGTAACTTGCCAGTTAAGCAGAAAAGATGGAGAATTCAAGGCTGACAGTTAACGCTCCCCAGAAAATGACCTTTGCTGCAGTTGTTACCCCTTGGCTGAGAGCAGTAAAATAAAAAGCACAGTGATATGTACTTCTGTGAAGGTGCAGCTACCCTACCGATGCTTGCACAGATCCAACATCACGCACGATAGTGGCAGAGCTGCAAAGCCCTGACTTCAGCAGCAGCTCCATGTGCCAAAGCTTGCAAGATTCGGTGATGCTCCTCCCGCCAGAAAATGCTATTTTGTGGTTGGTATTTTGACTCCTGGAGATCTAGCTGTATATCCAGATGCTGCTGAAAATATGGTCCTTCATTTTCTTCTGGCAGGTTAGAGTACTAAAGAATATTTATAAAGGGTGTTTTTTCCTTTCCAGTTAAAATATGCCACCCTTGATTTAAACGAGGACAAGATTTTTTTACCCTGATGCTTAGCTTAGGACAATGTTGAATTTCCGTTGGGCCTTGTACAGCTTGGTGAAAGCTTTCCTAAAAATAGGAATGATCTGGGGATTCCTAGCATCACAGGGCTAATGACTAGTTGAAAACTTGACATAAGAAATAAACTAAAAATATGACATTTTTGTCACAGCCCCAGTGATTTTTAGCAAAACCTCCTGTTGCTTAGTAGCTAGAGAGTTTGCATCTGTTTTACTCCTGCCATTTCAAAATGACTTGACAAAGCTACTTACTCTCCCTGTACAGCAAATGGGTCTCACTGACACAACCAGAACTTTTTATATTGGTGGAATATATAGATATCCCTCTTCCCACCCAACTGCCAGTCTATGACTGCTAAGAAGTTAACCTATTCAGCTGAAACTTCTCAGTAAATTCAGCTCAGTGATGCTTTCAGGTAACTGGCCACTAAATTACTGCAGGATTATCATGATAAAGACAGAAATGGGTTCTTTAAAGCATTGTTTCTCAAAGTTTTTTAATGTACAGCGCCTTTTGGATTGATCTCTGAAAGCCCAAATAGTGGTTAGAACTTCACAAAATTTTTTATCCTGACACTTCAGAGCCTTCTTTGAATCCTGTTGTGATACATAGCTTGAAAAAAACAATAAACAAACAAACAAAAAACAATCTCTGCAGCTTCCACCAGAGATTACTATGATTCGGAAACAATTTACAAAAATTTATTAGTTTTTGCATTTCTCAAACCTTTTACTCTGAGCAACTTAAGGCACTTAGCTTCACAATTACTGTAATACATGATTTCAGCTGTTATCTTCTAAACTGAATGAGAACGTAGAATTCAGTAAATCAGAAGAGGCTTAATTTTTGTTTTATTGAGATAGGGCTGTTGTCTGCACGAAAGCTTCTGGTCTTGCAAACAGAAGACAATTAGACTCCTGAGGGACATGGTTAATTTGCAATTGTATTAATTTGTAAAACAGTGTGCCGGTTTTGGCTGGGATAGAGTTAATTTTCCTCCCAGTAGCTGCTGTGTTTTGGATTTAGTAGCAGAAGAATGTTGGTAACACTGATGTTTTCAGTTGTTGCTGTAAATCAAGGACTTTTTCCAGCTTCTAATACTCAGCTAGCAAGCAGGTGTGCAGGAGCAGGGAGGGAACACAGCCAGGCAGATAGCCCAGGCTGGCCAGTGGAAATATTCCAGACCATAAACACCATGCTCAGTTTAGGAACGGGGTTGGCCTGCCGGCAGGAGGCTATCGGCTTTTCGGTTTTCAGGGGGTTCGAACTATTTTTGGGCTGCAAATCAGTCATTTGGTGGTGATAAAAAATTGTATGGTGTATGTTTTGTTTTGCACATTCTTTAGTATCATTGTTACTATCATTACTATTATTAGTGTTATTACTAGTATTTCCTTTGTCTTATTAAACTGTGTTTATCTCAATCCATGTGTTTCCCCTTTTATCCATTTTTCCTCCCCATCCCACTGGAGGGGAAGGGGAGGGGTGAGCGAGCGGCTGTCTGGTGCTTAGTTGCCAGCTGTTGGGTTAAACTATGACAAACAGAAACAAATTTCAAGTCTTGTACACCAAAAAGGACACAGGGCCTTCATAATGGGGCAAAACCCAACAAATCTTGCAGCTTGCTAATAACTTACGGAAAGCAACAAGGCATGCAGTGGCCCTGTAAGAAATTAATGAACTTGGACTACACTGATAGAAAACACTTTATATACTTTATATACTTCTTCTATTGTCAAATTCTTAAAATGACATATTAGTGATAGAGAAGTACTAATACTAATAAAAGATTATACTGAACATCCCACTGTGCAGTACAAGGCAGGTGACATAATTCACTGATGAATATATTGATATTAGCAGATAAAAGAATGTATTTGAGTTCAGGCTGTTCTGAGACTTATTTTTCCAAGATGAGATCTCTGATATCTGTCATACCCTCATCTTACCAGACAAAAATATTTAGTACAATACTGGATACTTTGCTTTATTGAAAGGGCTGCCTAGGTTTTGCAAGAAAGTATGTTAAACTTTTATCTTTGTTTCTGCTGTGCAAGTTTATGGTGTTCTCCATTTCTTTAGTGTGACCTCTTAGAGAAAGAACCCTAACAAAGAAAGAAGTAACAGCGTGATCTGTATTTGAGCCTCTGAAGAAAGGTTAGGAAGAGGATGGCAACAAATTGCAGGAGAAAAGGAAATTTCCCAGCCCCTTACTTCATGTCCAAATCACTTAGTCCTGAGGTTCTGAAGGTGCCTTCTAAGATGTGGATGCGTGATCTCAGACTTCTGGGACTGGATTTGCCCTGGTGCGGAGCATTCAAATATATGCAAATTTAAGTACTAAGAAATCAGACCTTGGCCCAAATTTTCAAGCAAGACCTCTAATCCAGAGCAACTGTTTGACAGGTTTTTTTTTGAGATATCTGTGCCAGCTTCTCAGAAGTGCCAGGACCAACACAGCTAAGTGGGAGCAGTGGAGGATTCTCTCTTGGTGACTGGTGTCCCTGCCTGGTCACCCAAAAAGTGAGACACAATGTGTGTTTGAAAGTGAGGGCAAACCACTTATCTAAGGGTAGCTAGACTGACTGTAAGTATCTACAACTTCTTTTTTTCCCCTGAATTTTTGAGATCTGTACGCCAGCCATCTTATACAAGCCCAGCTCCCTCAGCCTCTTCTCATAGGACAGATGCTCCAGTCCCCTCACCATCTTTGTAGCCCTCCGCTGGACACTCTCCAGTAGCTACTCATCTTTCTTGAAGTGGGGAGCCCAGAAATGGACACAGTACTCCAGATGGGGCCTCACCAGGGCAGTGTAGAGGGGAAGGAGAACCTCCCT